ATATTAGTGTCTAAACCACCAATTTCAACATTAGCAAACCAACAGTTATTTGAAATAGCAGATAATCTTACAATTAAAGGCCCTTTTATTTGTTTTTCCATATCAATTTTAAAAGGGACTGAACTCTCGGCCTCGAGTACAGTCCGTCTTATTTTAAATCATCTGAATGAGTGTTTTGTGGTTGTCTCTGATTGTTAGCCCTTCTATTCCTATTGTAGTTATTGTTGTCCTGTCTTCTGTAAGATTCTTCTGGGCAGTATTTACTTATGTGACCTTCTTTTTGACATGTGTAACATATTGTAATTTTATTGTCTCTTGGTCTTGTGTTATTGACCTGATTGAAATCTGACTGTTGGCCTTGTGTAAAATTTGCCAGTGTTTGTTGAATAGCATTAACGGAATCAGCTAACTCCCAAACACTTGGTTCAACATGTGTATTTTTGTTTGTCTCAAATGTGTGTGTATTTTGTACTGCAAATATATTAACAGCTTCCTCCGGTTTGGGTTAGCGGTATTGTAAATTTTGTGCCTTCAAAGGCTTCAAATTCTACGGCAAGCGATATTGCCTTATCTAGAGTTGAAGGGTGTGAGAACTGTACGTGTCGCTTTAATTCCGCGTTACCTAACCCGGATACATATTGCTCAATAACCAGTGATTCACGCATGCTCATTGGGATTTGAGGATATGCATGACTGGCTAACCTCTTTAAAGAGTACCCGTACTCGGCAGCCGACTCATCTCGGCTCCTTCTGCGCGTTCTAAATTCACAACGAAAGGCTGTTTCGCGCTCAGGAGGGCAAAAACGTTGTGTTAAAGCAGATCTCAACTTGTTGTAGTCTGACAACTCACTCTTGGTCAGTTCGCTTAGAACTCGTTGAGCATTTCCGCGGAGACAAATTGAGAGTTGTGCTGCTTTTTCTTGATCAGTCCATTCATTCCACATAGCGACCTGCTCAAAATGGCAGATATAGTCGGGCCATTCAACGTTTATCCCGTTGTATGTGTCAGGGTCCTTTTCTTTTCGTTTGTATCTACTAGACCAAGAGCCAGGTAGTTTTGAAAGATTTACAGGGGACTGTTCCCTCTTGTTTAGTTGTTCCCTTAAATAAGGTGGATACTCCCTATGTTTATTAGTTTGAAATTCTGTGTCAGTTTTGCAACCTGTTTGAATAGGATTGTAATTTTTATTGTGAGTTGCTTCATTACTATATCTAGTCTGATCAAAATAACAATTATCATTTGCGTGTTGATAATTTTGTCTGGTTTGTGTTTGATCTCTATAATTCAGAGCCGTATTGCCCTGGTCCCTTGAAAATAAATGTCTATTCATATCAGGTGTTTGATAATTTATTTTTGTCATTGAGTTATAGTTGCTACTCATTTTGTTCTTATTTTGGTACGTAGTGTTTGGTTGGTATTCAGGTACCTCATATTCAGGACCATGTACATTATGTTTGGCAGTACCTTTTGCACTTGTTATTTCTTGTATGTTATTTGTGATGTTTGTGTTTCCTTTAGGGTCAAAATACCCCATTTTCTCATTACTGCTGACAGTTTTTGTTCTTAATTCTGATGAATATTCATCAGGTACTTGTACTGTGTTTTTATTGCATTGTTCATAAAACAAACGTTCTTGTGTGTTGAAAGAATTTTCTTTCATTTCATCCATATTTGGATCATTTGTATATAGTTGTCTGTTTTCACGTTCCCCAATGGATCCTCCGTAACCTGAGGATGTCACGTGATAAGGGTTAAATACTGAATGAACGACGTCATTTCCAACGTGTGGCGGACATGTTTGACGTGAAAAGTTGGCATGTTTGTCGTTGTGTACGGACACATTTGCCTGTTTAGAATACTCATCATCATAATTATGTGTATGATATGTTTGTCTCTCAATTTCACTATAGTGTGGTGTTTCTGTTTGAAAAGACGGCGTGTCAAGGAATGTTTCATGTTGACGGAATGTGGGTTCAGAATTTGTGATTTCACAACAATGGAGTGATTTTTGTGTACCGCCATTCTTATTGAGAATGCTTATCGGAGTCAATAATTTAGAGTTCTCAATATCTGAAGCTGAATTATGATATTGTTGAGCTTCGAAGTAATTTTGTGTGCAAGTATTTTCATCCGAAACGTCATTGGATTTGTGTGCTGTTTGAACAAAAATTTCATTTTCATAATTTTGGATTGGACTAACTGCTGATTCAGTTTGTCATATTGTAAATATGTTTTCGTTGCTATAGCATAGTTAATGCTTTCTGCAATAAAGTATTCATTCATTCATTCATTCATTCAACTCTTAAATTTGTATTGTATAAATAATAAGGTTTTATTAAATGGAGGGGCTAGCTTATATTTAGCATAACTTGTTTCCTCAGAAGAAAAGAATTCCTGCAACAACAAAAAAACACACACAAATTTCTGGACAGAAAGTCACAGCGCAATTTCCGCTTTCTCTAATAAAATAATAACTTTAGTGTCTGTTTTATTGTTTATTTTATCATTTTGGAAGGAATATTCTTTGCTGTACATGCAAAATCAAAGAGTAAATATTGTATCAGACAAAATAAAAGACAACTCATTCCTTGTTAAAAAAATATATAAAAAAACAGGTACCTTTGATCGGTAGATGTATAATAATTATAATGGTAATTTTCTACTAAGAAAACAATTTGTGATCAATACAAATCATATTTAATGAAATTATTTGTTTTTAAGATTCAAAGCATTTGAACTCTTTTTAGCTGAAAGTTTGTTTTTTCTTGTTTCAATATAAGAAAATAGAAACAAAAAGGAAGGAAAGTTATAATCGCAATTGCCGTTTTCGCTTTTAAAACAACTTTAGTTTCTGTACAATTGTTCTGGTCTTTTTTTCTAATACTATATGCGATAGGTCTACTATATTTGGTGTATGGAAATATTTTATGATGTACATGTCAGTCTCGCAGGTTTTATTTGACCTTGACCTCATTTTCACGGTTCATTGCTCAGTGGTAAGTTTTTGTGTTTTGTTCTGTTTTTCTTAAACTATAAGCAATAGGTCAATTATATTTGTTGTATGGAAGGATTGTAAGCTGTGCATGTCTGCCTGGCATGGTTCATCTGACCTTGACCTCATTTTCATGGTTCATTGGTCAATGTTTAGTTTTCTTGGTTTAGTCTGTTTCTTACAAACTATAAGCAATAGGTCAACTATATTTAGTGTATTGAATGATTGTAAGGTGTACATGTATTTCTCGTTTGGTTTATATGACCTTGACCTCATTTACTTGGATCAAGTTAAGTTTATGTGAAAGTTGTAGTAAAGCTTTATATTTAGGACTATCAACATAATATCAATGGTTAGTAAAGAAGGCGATACATTTCAGCGTGTGCACTCTTGTTAATTAAAGTCATCATTTTACATTTAAGAAATTGAGAAAAAAGGAAACAATTTCACTATGAAATTTATTACCGAATATAGTATCCATTGAATGAAAATCTCTCATAATTACGTCCCTTTGATTAATTAATAATGTAAATATGCTCTACCTTGGTGACACATTTATCACTATGGTTAGGTATATATAGATTGTGAGTACCTTATTTAGTAGACAGTGGGATTGTATTTCACAAACTTATGTGAAGGATTTACTATTATATACTTACCATATAAGATGGAAAGAATTTCATTCCTCCTGAAGAAACCTACCCGATAAATACCATGTCTGGAAACGTATTTACGGTGACAAATCTTCCGCCGGGAAAAAATATCACAAAGGAAGAGATAAACCGTTACATTTACAGGGGAGGTAATATTTTATCACTAAATTTCCCACTGTTGCTAGGTTGATTTTCTAGGCACTTTATATATATATATATATTATAAAAATAAACATAATTTATGCCACATTTTCATGTGCCAGTTTGAAGTGAGGAACCTCGTTAGTAGTTGTAGAGTGGGTGGCGCATATTCGCCGTGGACACATTTTCGCCGTTTTTGCTATTTTTTCTGTAAATTTCGTGTGCCTTTACCCAATACTTGCCTAAAAAGATGCTAAACGCTGTTTGTAATGTTCGAACTGTTGATATTCCTCTTTACCCCATTTCCAATGTTATTCGCACATATAAAGAAATACGCTGGTGTTTTTGAACGATTTTGGCAATTATGTAAGATTTATATGGCACGCCTGCGCAGTCATAAAGTAAATATCTGTTAGAAAAATCGTATAGGAATGATCTCTCAAGCTAATTCATGTAATTGCAAACAATTGTTTTTATAATATACAAGGATAATGAGGATGGTCATATCATACATTGCGGCGAAAATGTGTCCCCCATGGTACAAGAATAACTTGATTTCCTCTTGAGTTTGCGTTCATTTTTAAAACATTTAACCAATGTTTTGAAGAGAATTCCTTTATCAAACATTTTTTTCATATAGTAAACTTTCTGAAACCTACATAAAAAGTTTCAAATATTCGAATGTAGGTCGGATGTAGGTGGAAATGAACGAATTTTGTGGCGAATATGCGCCACCCACTCTATATCATATCTTTACGTTTATCGTCATTTGGAGAACTGGGGTTTAATGGCAGATTCTGGTTTCTGTTAAATTCATTTCCAACTATCATAAAATTGAGACGATTTAGGGCTTGTAATATTGCATACACATTTGTCTATTATTGAAGACTTTATGTTGTCCGCCAGATGTCTTTTGGCTATTTCTGTCGTTTGGTTAATTATTTCTTATTGACGCATACCCCACATCTCCTTGTATTCATATGCACCAAGACAACCATTGGCAAGAATAAGTGTTTTTAGTTCTTAACAAATCTCGTCTATAGAGCATTTTTCATTTTCACCTAGTAAAAAAATGAAACTTGAAAAATTTCCAATGTCTATAATTTTCTTTAAAAAAATATCACAAAACTTTACTTACATTGCAAAGGAAAACTAAAACAATTGGAGTTGCTACATTCAAGGATTTTGATATCTATAGTTTGTATAATTTCAGAATATTGAGTCGTGTTATAAAAATGTGCATGTATTCTCTGCAGTAGCACAAGCAAAGACAAAGTTAAGTTTTATAGAAAACATTGTTCTTAACGTTCTCGATGGCTCTAAATATTCCAGTTGTGACTGTTGCATATATGGAGACCAGGGAACACCAGTTCATCGTGTAAATGCCGTCGTGAAAGAGACATACACGCATAACAGTAAAATGGCTGACTTGATAGCAAGACAGTTTCAATGTTCTGTACAAAATATTGGTTTTAGGATGGTAAATATACAATTAGTAGGAAAAAAGGAATCGTGTAGTATTCCTTATAATCTTCATCCAGTGTTATATCCAGAGATAAAAGAAACTGGATTCGGCATATGTGCGAAAATAGCTTATAATTATCTAAATCCATTACACCTTATTGAATGGTTCGAATATCAGAAAATGATGGGTGTAGATATGGTTCTTATATCTCTACAAACCTTAAACAAAGATGCTTATAAAGTGTTGAGATATTATGAAAGAGAAGGGATTACAAAACTCATTTCTTTTCCAAATGATATGCCCGGGAAATTAGGTATGTATATGAAAAATATTTGAAATACGACCTCACTTTATTCAATTATCACTTTCAAATTAAGTCCGTGTTTCTTCAAAAAATATATAGTCACGTATATACCTGGTATTATATAATTGATGACAGATAATTCGCATGAGAAACGAAATGCACGTCTAATGAATTGCAAAGATAATCAACTGATTCGTCGTGTATACGATTTTCAGATGTATTACAATTACAAATTGTGCGTACTTTATTTCAAAATTTCCAACAAAAGAGAGGCAGAAGATACTGAAAGGATGTTCAAACTAATAAGTCGAAGAAAAATTGACAACACAATGGCAAAAAAAAAAAAGAAAAAAAAAAAAAAAAAAAGACGAAAAGACAAACAACACTCTACAAGAAACAACATAAAAAACTAAAGACCAAGCAACACTAACCCCAAGGAAGAAATGGTCAATATCGGTTAAAACCATTTGATATGTAAGGTCAGTTCACACCGCTACAAAAATTTCTAGATTAATCATATGAATATACATACTCATATATTCAGAGACAAAAGAAATGTTGCAGGGAAAATTCATTATGTATTGTTTCGGCAAAAATTGACATAAGTTGTTTTATTAATTTTGTATTTACATTGTGTCATAGATCAAATTTATTCGTTCAGTGTATGTTCACTTGTTTTTATTAATATGTCTTTTGATTGAGTTAAGCCATTTCAATTGATATTTTATAGTGTGTATTTCTATGTTGTGATGTTACACTATTGTTTCAGGTAGGGCGAAGGTTGGCGCCTATTAAACGTTTAAACCCGCTGCATTTGTTTGCACCTGTCCTAAGTCAGGAACCTGATGTTCAGTGGTTGTCGTTTGTTGATGTGGTTCATAAGTGTTTCTCGTTTCTCGTTTTTTATATAGATTAAACCGTTGGTTTTCCTGTTTGAATAGTTTTACACTAGTCATTTTGGGGCTCTTTATAGCTTGCTGTTCGGTGTGAGCCAAGGCTCCGTGTTGAAGACCGTACTTTGACCTATAATGGTTTAGTTTTAAAAATTGTGACTTTGATGGAGAGTTGTCTCATTGGCACTCATACAACATCTTCTTATATCTATATAAGTGACGTCCATAAGGGCATTGACAGTGCTGTACAATTAAAAAAAAAAAACATTCAATCCTCGCAATTTAGGGTTCACCTTCTTTAAATGGCTCTTCAACGCCAGTTTGGGGTAAGCTTTTATTGTATTTCAAGCCGGAGAACGTTCTTCAATGCTTTTGATTGCAAGAAAAGCCTTTTATTCGTGTTCCTGATCAAATCCTACACATATATATTCACTTTAGCCCCTGTCAATGTGCAGTTTCTAACCATGGTACAACCATGGTTAACCATGGTGAACCATGGTCGTATGGAGATGGTTGACCATGGTTTGACAAAATTGTTAATTGGCCGACCATGGTTAACCATGGTTTTGCTGACCATGGTTGACTCATCAATAACCATGGTTGAAACCATGGTCAACCATGGTAGGAACCATGGTCAACCATGTTTACAACCATGGTTATCGATGGGTCAACCATGGTCATCAAAAACCACGGTTGACTCATCAATAACCATGGTTGAAACCATGGTCAACCATGTTTACAACCATGGTTATCGATGGGTCAACCATGGTCATCAAAAACCATGGTTAACCATGGTCGACCATTTAACAATTTTGTCAAACCATGGTCAACCATCTCCATTAAAACATGGTTAGCCATTTAACATTTTTGTCAATCATGTTTAATCTACAATTATCTTGAAACACTAATTGTCTACTTGTTACGACGGCTTGTATACTTCTCTTCCTTTCTGTATCAGGACTACCAACAAATGCTGAATTACAGATTTGCATGAAACTCTTCAAAGATGTGTTCGTCCATAAAATTAAAAGCACTTTCCACCTGCAAGAACATAAAACTTCCCACAAAGAATCAATAGCTCCAGATATTTTATAAAACAGATTTTAAGGATCAAATTAAATTTTATTTAATCAATGTTGTTTTTATTATTATTTTGCAAATTTTCAATAAAAACAATAACATTATGAACACATTTTATTTGTCTAATAATTTTAACCCCCCCCCTTTTTTACCTTTCAAACAAAAGAAAAATGATTGATGTATTATTAATTATTTTAACATAGGAATTGAACATCCACACTTGTCATCTTGTACAATTTTATCAGTTATTCCTGGAATTCAAAACATTTCATTTATCCAGAGACATATAATACAAGAGATTCGCAACTCTAGTAGAGTCTATACAACAGCCAATGAAATGACTTGGCCACCGGAAAGCCGATTATACCGATGGATTTTTGGGTAAAATCCGCCATTGTTGTGAAAAAGGTCCTACGCCTAACGATTTTTATAATGGATAATGCCGATACTTTTCACAGCTAAAGCATGCAAGTATATTTAAAAATTACAAAAAACGAATTCTAATAATTTGTTATTGATAAAATGTGTTCTAATGATGAGATTAATCAAATACAAACAAAGTTAAAACTCGGCCCATTTTACTTCACCTCCTATTGTCGTAGAAACCATTTGATCTCCCAATTTTTTTCTTTAAACTTGGAAATATGCTGATAAATATATAATTTTATGGGGCAATAATACTCCTAAATGTTGTTTCGTGAAAATAAGACTATTTTCGTAAAATTTGATCCTAAAGTGTTTTTTTTTCAAAATTATCAACAAATGTGGCGATTTTTTCTTATTGATACCCGAAGCCAGCTGTGCTGGAACTATCATTTTATCTCGTAAAACTTGGAAATGTGCGAATAAATATTCAATTGTATGGGGCTATATTACTCTCAGATGTTATGTCGTTTAAATAAGACCAGTTTCGTAAAATTTGATCCAACAGTTATTTCTAAAAATATCAACAAAGGTGACTATTATTTTGTTATTTATACACAAAGCCAGCTATGCTAATTATTTCAATCTGTTTCGTCAAAACTAGAAATTTACAAATAAATATGTCATATTATGGGGATATATATTACTCCCAATTTCTTTTTTTTTTATTAAACTGGCTAAATATTGAAATTTTTCATGGACAAATTTCCTTAAATCAGTTCTTCATTTTTGTGCACTATGAAATTTATAGCCTGCATTTTGTTTGGCAATGTATTCATTTTTCATTCTGTTTATGGCAAAGTTGTTTATTTTCTCCTATTCTGAAGTCATTGTTTTTTTCTTCCTTTTGGGGTGGCGTGCCAAAGATGAACGAATGCAGTAAATTTACAAAAGGAGTAAAATTTTCCTAGTAAAGGAAACCTTCTGCTGGTCGTAATATTATGAATGAGCTTCATGCATCTGTTGTCGTTTCAGACTACGCTTCTCATTCAATCATGAACTTATTCATTTTTAAATTAAAATCGTATTAAGGACATTTCAATGGTGACTGCAAAAGATATATATATATATATTTAATAATAAAAAAATGTATTTACACCAAGGATTTGTATATGTATACACACTTACTTTTAAACTGCCATCTCTTTACCCCAGAATAAAAAAGACAAAAACCACTACAAATGATTTAAAGACAAAAACCACTACAAATGATTGTCTCGTGGAAAAAAGGTTATAAAAAACTTTTTAAATAGTGTCTTCCATGTTGCTTTGATGTATGACCTCGGCTCCCACTTCAATGTTGTGTTTTTTTATAGATTTTTTGTTGCTTCGAGGACACACATATTCATCTATGAATGCAGTATTGTCAATTGCTTTTGTTGGTGGGTCTCTCGCTTATGTCTTCGTCACTTTCACTATCAACAAAGAGTTCGTTATCAGTTTATTCAACTAGGAGAGTATCTAAGTAGTAACTATTAAGATTGTCATCCCACGAAATAAAATCGGAATTTTCCATATTGCGTGCACATGAATGAAGCTTTATTCAAATGAGAAATTAAATGTAATTTTCTTAAATATTAATTCTCAATACACACTTCGAACATGAAGAAATCATAAATTTACCGACAATCAATTAAAAAACAACTCAATGCAAGCCTATGAAGAAACTGTCAAACAACTCTTAGAAATCAAACATTTACCGGCAATCCCACAGAAAAAACTCAATGGAAGCCCAATTAATGATGAATATAAAAATAAATAAAATTTTAATAATTTATAAATATCAAGAATAGAAAACAAAGCTTTTCATGATTAACAATTAATTAACAAATAAATTAACTTTTTTTCCACATTAATTAATTTTACATTTTGTGAATTGTATTTTTGGAAATCGTGTGTGGACACCTGTGGTGTAACAACTTCTTGTTTACAGGATGTCAATTAAAACTCATTATTTATAACATGTTCGTGATTTACCTGGTCATCGAATAATTCAAACCTAATATACATGTCACACTGTGAAATTATGTCTCCGAGACAGGTGTATATTCAATGGAAACCTATTATGAAACTATCAAATAAAATGAACTCTGACACAATTTATCAAGTGTTAATTATTTACTATCAGTTTTTTTTTAAATACAATATCAAATTATGTCTCTTTTTCTATAATACAAATCTTAAATCAAAATTACATTAAAATAAATAATTATATATGAACTCAAATTATTTAATTAATTATGATAAATTTAACACTGAAACAGTTTATGTTATGCTTAAACATTCGTCCTTACTTCGAGTACTTTTAATACTTTTATTCATGACTTTATTACCTAAGGAGATCTCGCGAGGTTTAACTAGTGGCCGCGTGTTTTTACGGGATTTCGCCGAGTTGCGAATCTCTTGTATTATATGTCTCTGATTTATCACAGTTACTTAATGTATGCTGAAATCGAGATGCTGACTGACTAATTTAAAGACCACTTTCTGATGTGTTCTAATGAAAGCCATATCAAATAGTAACAATTTTTATATCTTATTAACAAAATATCAAACAGATTTCCTGTAAATATACTTATCTGATAACAAATCTGCTTTACGTGACAACTCTGG